ACAGACGCAGGGGCGGATCCAGGAATTTTAGAAAGGAAGTGACTATTAAAAAATTTGACTAGGAATGCAAGGAAAAGGGGGTGACTGTTACTGACAATATACTGAGAAATATGAGCAAAGAGGGGGGTGACTAGTCACCTACTTTACCACCCCTGTATCCGCCACTGAGACTAAGATGATCATTGCATACCTGATATCCATAACATCCTTCCAAATTATACATTTCACCACGTCCCAAGAAAGAACCTTCTACATAAATCACCAGAAAAACGTCTTCCAACATGTCAGTCATCTACTCTGCTTGCAAATAATTTTGTTCACTTTCTTTAAGAACCAAATAATCAAGACTAGAAATGAATTGCCTTCTATTGAACAAAATCCATCTTTGATTATTGATCAGCGTCCTACTACATGCCAACTAAAATGTCAGCTTCATTGGCTTCCTGTGACTCACCGTATTATATACAAGATCCTCTTAATAACAATAAATCCCAATATAACCTGGCTCCATGCTACATCTCTCAATGCATTTTCCCAATACAAACCCCCAAGAAATCTAACATCTTCATGTTCCATTCAATCAAATCGTCAAAAATTTCGTCTAAAACCTTATGGTTATCGTTCGTTTTCCGTGTGTGGCCCTGAACTTTGGAACTCTGTTCCTCCTTCCAATACATCACAATCATCGCTAACATCCTTCAAGACAGCCCTAGAAACCTATCTATTTAAACAAGCATATAATTTGTAGATGTATCTCTGCTATTAGTTCTTTGTCTATTCTAGTATTACTGTTTCGTGCGCTTAGAGCAGCAATGAATAAACGCATCTTAAATATTATTATTATCATATTGTTATTATTATTATTTTATTTTGCACGCATGTGAGCATAAGTATATGAAATATGCATGTTTGAAATATTTTAAAAAGTTATTATTATAAGTTATTTTTTTGAGACTTTGATGTGGTAAAGACATATGGAATGCTTTTGGAGGTTTCTAAACTGTTAAAACAGCTTTCATATTTACTTGAACATTTTCATTCATATTGTGATACTTTTTCGTGTATTTTTGTTTCATAAATCCTTCTCAAGTGTTGAAGCTGAGAATCAAGTAAAATCTTCTTGTAGTACCTTGTTATAATAATTTTGGCTAGAATTGTTCTACAGAGCCCAATTTTTCACATTAATTGTCATTGAAGTGACTATTAAGAATAGTGTATTCTATCATATGATATAAGAATGCGATATATTAAGAGTAAATGATCATACTCCACAATCAAAATACTAATATCGTAATAGCCATGTGTAACTCGTACAATTAAAATACCTACAAATTTCACTGTAATTCTAGTACACTACCTACATGGCTTCTCTCCACACTATTCTTTAATTACTCTGAGTAACTAAAGTTTGATGAAGTTTTGTTAATTAAGTTTGATGCTTAATGAACCATGGATAGACGTGTTGTTTTGGTCTCTGCAAATGTTCTTATTTTACTGTTCCCTGCGGCCGTGATTCTTGAAAACTACATTTCCAGGTTGGATCTAAAGTCTAATTTGAATGAGGAAAACCAATATTTCATCGACGTTCCCGATAATTATTGCAGCAAAAATTCACGGATTGTATCTACGACATTAAAATGCAAATAGCTGAACGAAAGATCGCATACTTTATCCTCACAATTCTACTGCAACGTTTAATATTACCTCTTCGGCAATACTCGCCTCTGGTGATGTACATCCAAATCCAATCCGGGGTAACACACAAAAGGCAGAACGAAGCCTGGGAGTGGATGAACAAACAATGAACGGTGAGATGAAACAAAGAACGCAGCTCACATGTAGAATAATACACATTGTTCACCATAATCCATGCTTTCTTTGTTTTTGTTATTTTATCCAATCCCAAGCTTCGTTCTACCAGTGGACACAGACCCCTTCATCGAAAACTCAGCTTTCCAGTAATTTCGCTATCTTGAATGCAAGATCTATTGTTAGAAAATCCACTCTAACCATCTGGGCATACTGGTCTTAACCGAAACTTGGCTAAATGGAACAGACCAAGATATAAGTCATATAAGGAATATCCGCGATCGTTCCAGACAAAGTTTGCTGACAAAAACATTTACTGCGCTTCCAACTCTATATCTTATGCCCGCAAAGGACTAGTGGTTGGTGCCTTGAAGGCTTCTGGGTATACTATAGCGCAATTTCTGCATTTTCTGACAAGGAAAATAAACAGCCACCCTAGTAAATAATATAATAACAAAGGATAGTAAAAAGATAACAAAATTCATTGGTAATTCTGACTGAGAACATTGGGATATTTGATCCTGTTGCGTCATGGCGCAAGATCAAATTCACAAGTAGTGTGACATGCTCAACGCAAAACTGATTCTTTTATAGCCTACAAAAGAGCAGAACCTGCAACTATTCTAATAGTATGTAGAGAACACCTTAAGGGAGAAGATATTCTTATTATGGCTTCTCTTAAAAATGGTAAATTAACTGATATACTTCATTTGTAATCATTTACGATAATAAACTCTCGTGGTTGGAAATATCCAACTATTTAATTCACTTGTTCTAATTCTACATTTTCAATATTATAAAATAGAAAGAAAAGAAAACCAATTATTAGTGTTTTGTTATATACCAAGAGTCAAAGAAAACAAAATTGTTTTGATTTTTGATAAAATCATTCATTTTTGTGAAACATTCCATTATCTTTTGGCTAACATTGCAAACCTATTCAGCTGTACTAAGCCTTTGTGCATGATACAGGCAACCCAGTGAACGATTATATGGGGTCTTGTTTGTTGGTCAGAATTTTACAATTCTATATTTCAAACCCTTCTTCTTGAACTGTGTTGTAAAGGTAAGCTATGAAGGAAGATTTAAAAGCACTAGACTAGCTTAAAAGATTCTCAACCGTATTTCTTGTTTTATAGGGTATCAATCGTCAACCTGCGGCTTTACATTGAACCATCGCAGTACATTATTTTCTTTCATACTTATTTCATAGGAAATCAAATATAATAACACGTATGTAATACCGTTTTCAGAACCATATACAACTTGAAGACGACTTAAACTATGATACAATTAAATGTGAATCGCGAAATTGCACTTTCACTCCCTTTGATTAATCTAATAATCCTCAGAGACTCTAGATCTCAGGCAACGGTGACACGAATAATAGAAATGTACTTTTTTCTTAGTGTGTATCAGGATCCATTCTGAAACATCGTATGAGTGGGAAACATACGGTACTGACTTACAGTACGTACACGGTACGACATGCCGTACCATTGAAATGGCTTCCCATTAGAATGGTTATCGTATGAGTGGGAAACATACGATACTGACTTACAGCACGTACACGGTACATTACGACATGCCGTAACATTGAAATGGCTTCCCATAAGAATGGTTATCGTATGAGTGGGAAACATACGGTACTGACTTACAGTACGTACACGGTAC